TTATGCTAACCAAATTCTCATCTGACTACGTTCACAAAAATATTGACCAAAGTCAAATTTTAGCCTAGGCATAAAATTTAAAACACATAATGGCACAAACAAAAATGAAAACCTCAAAACATGGACAAACCTTCTCGTTAGATAAAAAAACGACCTTTCGAAGCTAATGACACTGACGGAGTTCTAATCTTAGCACGTTTACCAAAAATATTCAACAAAGTAAAGTTTTGATTAAAATTTAAAAGTTAAAATGCATAATGACACAAATTAAATATGAAAGTCTCAACACTAGACGCTGATTTACCAAAAAAAATTAACTTCAATTGGTGATTTACCAACTATTAAAATATAAGTTAGTACTTAATAATTTACCAATAAATTTTATCAGAGTTGATTATAGTTACTATTCAACTAAACATTAATATATAATGTTACCAACTAATAACTAATATGTTGGTAAATTTTACCAATGGATTAGTGATCAATTGATATATTATCAACTATATTAATGATGTTTGTAATTCACTGACTACAATCTTTGTTCGTTAGCAAAATTTCCAACTAATTTTATATTGACTGACAAATTTACCAACAAATTATATTTTGTTACTAATTTACCAGCATGTTTATATTTGGTCGGTAAATTTAGCAACACAATATGTCGTTGGTAAATGTTTGGTTAGTAATTCATTGGTAATATGTTAATAAATTATATAAACAATTTTTTGTCATATTTATCAATCGATATATACTTCGTTGGAAATATTACCAACAAAAGGTGTGCGTTAGTAATATTTATGTTGGTAATCTATTGATAGAAGGTAGCTAAATTTGGCGCCATTTTTTCCCGCCGTATTTAACCAACTAAAATACTTAGTAAGATTTATGTTGGTAATCTGTTAGAATTTCATTGTTAAGTTTTAAAATATTATTCGGTTAGAAATATGTTGGTAATTTGTTAGTAGAATACTAACCAACTTAAGTTGTTAGTAAAATCTGTTGGCAATTAGAGGTTCTTTTTGTAGTATACTAAGATTACATTGATTTTCTACTAAATCTTTAAATTGTTTAAAAACATCAAAGACTTCACTCTTCAGTCTTATAAAATAAACCAAACACATTATGGTATAGTCATTAATAAAGAGGAGAAAATATTTGTTCCCACTCAGTGAATCTGATTTCATTGGGCCGCAAACATCCGCATGAATGAGCTAAAGTTTCTGGTTAGCTCTCCATACTTGATTTGCTCGAAATGGAACTTTTTTTCGTTTTTCCAGTTGGTAAGTTTCACAAACCTGAGAATTAGAAAGAAATTCAGGCATATTTTCCACTAACTCTTTTTTTTTTCATCTTAGCGATGATTCTCAGATTGAAGTGACAAAACCTTTTGTGCCATAGGTTTGTAAATGTTTGTGAAGTAATAGTGTAAGCCTTCTCAGTTATTTTCTCCCAATCAACTAAAAATATTTTGTTTCTCATCTTGACATAAAAAAACTCTACTACAGAAGGGTCAGAAACAACACATTCACAATTTTTAAAATGCAGAGAGTAATTATTTTCAAGCATTTGTCCAACACTTAACAAATTTTGACTCACATTAGGTGTGTACTGAACATCAGGAATAGTTTTATACCTGATATTGATGAGATAGACATTATACCTCTGCCTTTGACTTCTACTGCCTCAGTGTTCCCCAGTTTTACTTTAGATTTGTAAGTATAATGGAGGAATTTGAATACTTCAAGTTCATTGCACAAGTGATGTGTGCAATCACTGTCAAAAAGCCATGAATCAGAGGATTCATTAATTGAAAAGTATGAAACTGCAAAGAGTTGCTCCTCATGTGCATTTGCAGCTTCTGCTACCTGTGCTTGCAAAGCACCAGAGGTCTTTCCTCTTGATTTGCACACCTTGGATATGTGTCCCGTCTTTTTACAGTTTCTGCATATAGCATCAACACTCCACCAACAATATTTACCCAGATATGGATTTCTTTTACAATATTTGCAAGGAGGGAACTTCTGCTTCACATTTCCACTATTGTTTCCTTCATCATGCTTTCCTTATTCTTTTGGTGAAATTGTTGCTTTCCTTTTTGCTTTTGTACAGAGAAAGATCCTTCCCTGAAATTTTTCTGTCTCATAGTCTTTCTTTGATCTTGTGCTTGAAGAGCACTCATTACTTCACCTAATGAATGTTTGCCCAAGTCCTTGGATTCTTCAATAGAGGAAATCTTAGATTCAACCCTCTTAGTAAGAGTCACAAGAAATTTCTCCACGATTCATTTGATTGTAATTTCTTCACTAAGAAGTCAAATGTTATTAACAATCAAGGAGATTTGATCAATATACTTACTGATAATTTCATCCTCCTGCATATTCAAGCACTCAAACTCTTTTTTCAGGTTCAACACTTGGATTTGACATGTCCTATCGCTGCCTTGGTATTCTTCAATCAACCTATCCCAAGCCTCTTTTGCTGTTTTGCAAGCCATGATTCTGTAAAACACAGAATCTTCCACAACATTCTGCATGAGCAACTTGAATTTAGATTCCTTTGCCTTTTCTTCGTTGTTGAATTTGATTTGATCCAAGGTAGGATTCGCTCGTAGAGCAGCAAGTGGTTTATCTTCCACCATAGCTTCCCAAAATTCATAGGCTTTCAAAAAAGCTTGTATCTTCACAAATCAGATTTGGTAATTTTCACCAGTGAAAGTGAATAGTGAATTTAAAGGTAGGTTGTTGGATGCCATTTGTGTTGTAGGTTAAAACTTTTTGGTCATGTAAGATCAACTACAGGTTCTAATGCCACTGTTAGAACAAAATACTTAAGAAAATAATTTGAAAAATAAAATAGAGCGAACTTATGAAATTCCAACCATATATTAATCTGCAGAAAGTTTGAATTTATACAAGGAAATAAACATAATCATTTCCTATCTATTATTCACTTACAAAGTGGATGTTGAAACTAAATAACAACATGTGCCACTAACTACCATAAAAGAGGACACTAATGGGCAAAAATGGAGCCACTAACTTCAAAAAGTTGAGCAACAAAAGTTGGCTAAGTCTAGCTAGAAACAGGAAGTACTAAACTGAAATAAGTAAAAACAGTAAAAATAATAATAAGCTGAAAAAATGTCAATTCCCTAACAGGGCATAGTAGCCTAAGATAGATACAAGGCAGACTATCAGTACATTAGAATGTTGACTCATGGAGGCATTGAGCATTATTGATTCCATCATGATAAGGTAGGCTAAAATTGAGGCTCCGAAATCACCAGTGTTCAAAGGTGTTTGTGATGCACAAGAAGTAATAAACTTTTTTTGGCACTAGGAGAATTATTTCGAATACGAAATGTAAGGGACGAAGATGTCAAGATCAACACCATAGTATTGTGCTTGTTAGAAACTAACATGCTATGGCGGAGATAAAAATTGACTGATGTTGAGAGAGGTATGTGCACAATTAGCACGTGGGACTAGTTTAAGCAGAAGTTTTTATTGTTAAAGAATGACAAAAGTCTCACATTGGTGGTTAATGAGATGGATGGGCTTCTTATAAGGCTTGAGCAATCCTCCTCCTTTAGAGCTAGCTTTCGGGGTGTGAGTTAGGCCTAAGACCTAATTTCACATGGTATCAGAGCAGGAATCGTCTCACCTGATGTTGGGCCCCCAAAATCAAAATTGCTCATGCACCAGATGCTAAGCATCGGGTGTGAGGTGGGGTGTTAAAGAATGACAAAAAGTCCCACATCGGTGGTGAATTAGATAGGTGGACTCCTTATAAGGCTTGGCAATCCTCCTCCCTTTGAGCTAGCTTATGGTGTGTGAGTTAGACCTTAGACCTAATTTAACACTTATGTCTTGTACCAGAAAGATGTAAACTTTGAGATTTGAAGAAAACATGAAACATATGGGACTATATCAAGCATACGCTATTTCTTGAATGGTTCGACCTTTCTTCATTGTGAAGTTTTCGTACTGAGCTGAGAGTATGTCCACTTTGGATTGTTTGAGTTGACTCGTTCCTTCATGATCCATCCTCAAACTAACCCAAATCACTTTAGCACATTCACACACTGAGATTCAGTTATACTCACTAGTAACTATTCCACACACAAGCAACTTTTTTTGCTTTGTAGCTTTTTTTTTTGTTCTTTTTGAGATGGACTTCATTGTACTCCCTTTGTGTCTTTGGAATCAATCTAGTAATCTCTTATTTCTCGACTTCCTTCATGGTCACATGAGGTCCTTCCAAGATGAACTATCCTCTGTCATTATGAAGTCATGCATATTAGGCTTCCATCACCCATTGTACTTTTGATTGAAGCTAGGGGATTGGTGGTTTACTGACCTTCTTCCAAATTTGTTGGAGCAGTCATATAAACATGATCCTCTCTTGGTATTAACTATATAATAGTACTCCCTCTTAATCAATTATTATTTTGTATGATCCCCCCACGAGTTAAAAGATTTGGTCTTTTGATAAATCAGTTAACAGAGATAGTTAAGATAAGAACTGAAGGTAAAGAACATACTATGTTTACGTGGAAACCCCCACGCTAAAAAAATACATGAATTGTCTCATAGGATCTTTCAAGGCTATACTATCTCAAACCAAAACATAAATACAAACTCGAGTACTTCCCATGGATTAAACTCTTAATTCTACACACCTTGTAGTACCTCTATCACAAGACGCAAACCAATAACTATTTCCCCACTATATCAACTAACTCTAGTTGATATAGACTTCAATAAAACATCACGACTAACTCTAGCCACTCACTCAAATCTCAACGATAAGAAAAGAAATGATTTACTGCCCTTTGTAACATAGGAGTAGATCTACACATAAGAGCACGAGGCATTAAACTCAAAATACAACTAAAGAAAGTGCAACACTTAAACAACTCTTATTTGATTCAATCTCATATTGATATTAAACAAAACTCTGCTACCATAAAGAGTACATAATGTAAGAAATTTCGCATCTCAATCACAGGAATCGAGAATAGTTTCAGCGAATCGTTCTACAGAAATGAAAGAAGATCCACCCTCGGTCAACTCCTTCCTGAAGATCTCTTCCATGTCTTTGACTCTCTTCCTCAGGAGATTTTTGCTGTCCATTGTGCTTCTTATAACTTTCTCCATCTCCTCTGCCTCACAATTTCACGATGATCACTATCACGCATCTTATAAGTCAATGTCAGCTCTACTGCCATCTCGATATCTTTAACCAATTGAAATGTGTTAATCTGTTGTTCTGCATAAAGGGGCCATGTCATAATTGGTACATCATGTCATACACTCTCCATAGTCGAATTCCATCCACAATGAGATACGAATTCTCCAATGGCTTTGTGAGCCAAGATATTGACTTGGGGTGCCCATCCACATACTATTCCTCTGTCTTTTGTCCTCTCCAAGAACCCTTCCGGCGATATCTCCTCTAATTTTGTAGTTTCAGCATTCACAGGCAGACGTATTGACCAAAAGAACCTAACCCCACTTCATTCAAGTGCAATTGTCATCTCGATAAGCTGTGATGGCTGAAAATTACCCGCGCTTCCAAAGCACAGAAAAAGAACAGAGGAAGGTAGTTGCTGGTCTAGCCATTTCATGATTTCTTCATCTTCAGATTTTGAATTCCCTTTAGCATTTTGTGACTCAAGGTAAAGAAGAAATCCTACTGTGTAAACTGGAGTTAATTGAGGATCAGATACTAAGCTTTGGTTTCTTTGAACGTGACACCATGGTTACAGAATTAGTCGTAACCTTCCTTGACAAATGCAAAAGTAGGTAAGACTTTTGAAGTTACCGGATCAGATCGATTAAATTCTCTCCCAAATTGGTCATGCCAAACGGACAGATAAAGCAGGAAACCAAGAAAACCAGCACCGGAAGTAAAGAAAGATAGGAAGGAATGTCAAGTGTATTTGCTACATCAATCATTGAAGTGCAAAACATATCACTAACTAATCCAATAATTTTCGGGTTCGAATCAATATCCGGCCATGACTTGTTACTTATAATTGGATCTTTAACAAAAGGGTCAATAACTTGCTATTAAAAGAGAGATGTATTTCTCAACAGACTTTGCTAGTTCTTCTGGATATGGACGTTCGATTTGAGCAAGTGTGATATATCTAATTCGACTGTCCAATACATCAAGGAAAGTTCCGCTAAAAGCAGGTGGGAAGCATCGCTTGATGTAGGCATCCCATGGTGATATTATAATGAGAATTGTTACATATACCCTTTCATCTCTACTAACCAAATTCTCTACAAACTTGCAAATCGAAACAAGATGTGACCAATGGATGGGACAGGCACAAATACCAGCTCTCATTTGCTCATATTTTGTACTACTAACTAATCAGAACATGAAAATATGTTTAATGATATAAGAGTGGATTTGTGATGTTTTTCTGGTAGTGGTTTAGTTTGAGTACTCATTATAATTTGTGTTTGTACAAAGAAAGAGACAAATTTATTTTGGTACTAATTTTTTATTTATGTTTGGTATATTCTATTATACATATAATCTTTCTATGACAATGTATTGCCAAGATTTTTATTGTACACTTAATGGACTACCACAAATGCAGTAACAATCTAATACTTGAGCATTAAAAAGAAATTCAGGCATATTTTCCACTAACTCCTTTTTTTTCATCTCACTGATGCTTCTCAGATTGAAGTGACAAAACCTTTTGTGCCATAGGTTTGTACATGTTTGTGAAGTAATAATGTAAGCCTTCTCAGTTATTTTCTTCCAATCAACTAAACACATTTTGTTGCTCATCTTGACTTAAAATAACTCTACTCCAGAAGGGTCAGAATCAACATTCACGATTTTTAAAATGCAGAGAGTAATTATTTTCAAGCATTTGTCCAACACTCAACAAATTTTGACTCACATCAGGTGTGTACTGAACATCAAGAATAGTTTTATACCTGAAATTTAAGACATAGACATTATACCTCTGCATTTGACTTCTACTGCCTCAGTGTTCCCCACTTTTACTTTAGATTTGTAAGTATAATGGAGGAATTTGAATAGTTCAAGTTTATTGCACAAGTGATGTGTGCAATCACTATCAAAAAGCCATGAATCAAAGGATTCATTAATTGAAAAGTATGAAACTGCAAAGAGTTGCTCCTCATGTGCATCTGCAGCTTCTGCTACTTATGTTTGCAAAGCACCAGAGGTCTTTGCTATTGATTCGCCGACCTTGGATATATGTCCCGTCTGCTTACAGTTTCTGCATATAGCATCAACACTCCACCAACAATATTTACCCAGATATGTATTTCTTTTACAATGTTTGCAAGAAGGAAATTTCTGCTTCACATCTCAACTATTGTTTCCTCCACCATGCTTTCCCTTATTCTTTTTGTGGAATTGTTGCTATCCTTTTTTCTTTTGTACAGAAAAAGCTCCTTCCCTGAACTTTTCCCATCTCATAGTCCTCCTTTGCTCTTGTGCTTGAAGAGCACTCGTTACTTCACCTAATAAATGTTTGCCCATGTCCTTGGATTCTTCAATATAGAAAATCTTAGATTCAACCCTCTCAGGAAGAGTCACAAGAACTTTTTCCACATTTTATTTGTCTGTAAATTCTTCACCAAGAAGTCTAATATTATTAACAATTAAGGAGATTCGATCAGTATACTTACTGATAATTTCATCCTCCTGCATATTCAAGGACTCAAACTCTCTTTTCAGGTTCAAAACTTGGATTTGACATGTCCTATCGCTGCCTTGATATTCTTCAATCAACCTATCCCAAGCCTCTTTTGCAGTTTTGCAAGCCATGATTCTGTAAATACAGAATCTGCCACAGCATTCTACATGAGCGACTCGACTTTAGATTCATTTGCCTTCTCTTTGTTGTTGGATTTTATCCGAGCCAAGGTAGAATTTGCTGGTAGAGCAGCAAGTGGTTTATCTTCTGTCATAGTTTCCCAAAGTTCATAGGCTTCCAAAAAATCTTGCATCTTCACAGACCAGATTTGTTAATTTTCACCAGTGAAAGGGAATGGTGGATCTAAAGTTAGGTTGTTGGATGTCATTTGTGTTGTAGGTTAAAACTTTTTGGTCAATAAAGGCTCTAATGCCACCGTTAGAACTAAATACTCAAGAAAATGATTTGAAAAATAAAAATAGAGTGAACTTATGAGATTCCACCTATATATTAATCTGCAGAAAGTCTAAATTTATACAAGGAAATAAACATAATCATTTCCTATCTAGTAGACACTTACAAAGTGGATGTTGAAACTAAATAAGACCATGTGGTACTAACTACCATAAAAGAGGCCACTAACAGTCATAAATGAGGCCACTAACTTCAAAAAGTTAAGTAACTGAAGTTGGCTAAGTTTAGCTAGAAATAGGAAGCACTAAACTGAAATGAGTACAAACAGTAAAAATGATAATAAGTTAAAAAAAAATGTCAATTGTCTAACAGGGTATAGCAGCCTGAGATAGATACAAGGCAGACCATCAGTACATTAGAATGCTGACTCATGGAGGCATTGAGCATTATTGATGCCCATGAAGACAAATATAGAAATACTTAAAGGAGAGGGGCGATGGTTGCTTGACGGAGACCACTTGGAAGGCCATCGTGATAAGGTAGGCTAAAATCGAGGCTTCTAAATCACCAGTGGTTTAAAGGGGTTTGTGATGCACAAGAAGTACAAAATTTTCTTTGGAACTATGAGAATTACTTCGAATATGAAATGTAAGGGACGACGATGTATAGATCAACGCCATAGTATTGTGCTTGTTAGAAACTAACATGCTATAGTGGAGATAAAATTGACTGATATTGAGAGAGGTATGTGCACAATTAGCACGTGGGACTAGTTTAAGCAGAAGTTCTTATTGTTAAAGAATGACAAAAGTCTCACATTGGTGGTTAATGTGATGGGTGGACTCCTTAGAAAGCTTGAGCAATCCTCTTCCCTTAGAGCTAGCTTTTGGGGTGTGAGTTAGGCCTGAGACCTAATTTCACATGGTATCAGAGGAGGACTCATCTCACCTGATGTTGGGCCCCCAAAATCAAAATTGCTCATGCACCAGATGCTAAGCATCGGGCGTGAGGTGGGGTGTTAAAGAACGACAAAAAATCCCACGTCGGTGGTTATTGAGATGGGTGGACTCCTTATAAGGCTTGACAATCCTCCTCCCTTTGAGTTATCTTATGGGGTGTGAGTTAGTCCTTAGACCTAATTTAACACTTATGTCTTGTACCAGACAAATGTAAACTTTGAGATTGAAGAAAACATGAAACATACGGGACTATATCAAGCATACGCCATTTATTGAATGGTTTCAACATTCTTCATTGTGAAGTTTTCGTACTGAACTGAGAGTATGTCCACTTTGGATTCTTTTAGTTGACTCGTTCCTTCATGACCCGTCCTCAAACTAACCCAAATGACTTTAGCACATTCACACACTGAGATTCAGTTATACTCATTAGTAATTATTCCATACACAAGCAACTTTTTTTGCTTTGTAGCTTTTTTTTGTTCTTTTTTAGATCGACTTCATTGTACTCCCTCTGTGTCTTTGGAATCAATCTAGTAATCTCTTACTTCTCGACTTCCTTCATAGTCACATGAGGTCCTTCCAAGATGAACTATCCTCTGTCATTATGAAGTCATGCATATTAGGCTTCTATCACCCATAGTACTTTTGATTGAATCTAGGGTTTGGTGGTTTACTGACCTTCTTCCAAATTTGTTGGAGCAGTCATATAAACATGATCCTCTCTTGGTGTTAACTATATAAGAGTAATCCCTCTTAATCAATCATTATTTTGTATGATCCCCCCACGAGTTAAGAGATTTGGTCTTTCGATAAATCAGTTAACAGAGATAGTTAAGATAAGACCTGAAGGAAAAGAACATACTATGTTTACGTGGAAACCCCCACGCTAAAAAAATAGATGACTTGTCTCATAGGATTTTTCAAGGCTATACTATCTCCAACCAAAACATAAATACAAACTCGAGTACTTCCCATGGATTAAACTCTTAATTCTACACACCTTGTAGTACCTCTATCACAAGACTCAAAGCAAAAACTATTTCCTTACTATATCAACTAACTCTAGTTGATATAGACTTCAATAAAACATCACGACTAACTCTATCCACTCACTCAAATCTCAACGACGAGAGAAGAAATGATATACTGCCCTTTGTAACATATGAGTAAATCTACACATAAGAACACAAGGCACTAAACTCAAAATACAACTAAAGACAGTGCAACACTTAAACAACTCTTATTTGATTCAATCGCATACTGATATTAAACAAAACTCTGCTACCATAAAGAGTACATAATGTAAGAAATCTCGCATCTCAATTACAGTTATTGAGAATAGTTTCAGTGAATCGTCCTAGAGAAATGAATGAAGATCCACCCTCAGTCAACGCCTTCCTGAAGATCTCTTTCATTTCTTTGACTCTCTACCTCAGGAGATTTTCGAGGAGAATTCCTTTAGTTTCTTTGAACATGATACCATGGTTACGGAATGAGTCGTAACCTTCTTGACAAATGCAAAAGTAGGTAAGACTTTTGAGGTTTCTAGATGCATTGGCTGCTATATTTAAATCACTATCAGATCGATTAAATTCTCTCTCAAATTGGTCATGCCAAACGGACAAGTAAAGCAGGAAACCAAGAAAACCAACACCGGAAGTAAAGATAAGATAGGAAGGAATGTCAAGTTCATTTTCTACATCAATCATTGAAGTGCAAAACATATCAATGACTAATCCAATAATTTTTGGGTTCGAATCAGTATCCGTCCATCACTTGTTACTGATAATTGCATCTTTAACAAAAGGGTTGATAACTTGCTATCAAAAGAGACTTTGCTACTTCTTCTAGAGATGGCGGTTCGATTTGAGCAAGTGTGATATATCTAATTCGACTGTCCAATACATCAAGCAAAGTTTCGCCAGAAGTAGACGAGGAGAACCTATGTTAGCATCCCATGGTGGTCTTATAATGAGAATTGTTACATATACCCTTTCATCTCTACTAACCAAATTCTCAACAAACTTGCAAATCGATACAAGGTGTGACCAATGGATGGGACATGCACAAATATCAGCTTTAATTTGCTCATATTTTGTACTACTAACTAATCAGAACATGAAAATATGTTTAATGATATAAGAGGGGATTTGTGATGTTTTTCTGGTAGTGGTTTAGTTTGAGTACTCGTTATAATTTGTGTTTGTACAAAGCAAGAGACAAATTTATTTTGATACTAATTTTTTATTTATGTTTGGTATATTCTATTATACATATAAACTTTCTATGACAATGTATTGCCAAGATTTTTATTGTACACTTAATGGACTACCACAAATGCAGTAACAATCTAATACATTATCGATCTGTTGAGAAGGAGAAGGAGAAGTAGATCAGATTGTTGATTTATATATATATATATATATATATATATATATATATATGGGTTCATATTTTTAATGCATCTAGCTATTTGAATTTTCTTAAATTAATGTATAGCCTTCTTTTCAAAATTATGATACATTACAATTTCATCATGCTCAATATATTGTGTTTAAATATTAATTTTGATACATAACTTAATTTATTGAAACACAAAACGAATACATAACTATTGCAAAATTCGTTATTTTTTACTACCAGATGCATATGTATCTCTAAACATTATCAAATATTATTGTTGACACATAAACACTTCTTTTTTATGACAACATCAGCTTGTATCATTTTCTTAGTTATGTATATGACATAACATTGATAGAGCAATGTATAATTTGTGTTTGTATCAAGCAAGAGAGAAATTTGATATACAAATACAAAAGTATTAACTCAATTCAATTGTATACAAATTCAAATTTTGTGCAGATATATAAACACAATCATTGATACATGTACGTTTTAATTACATATATACAATTATCGAACTGATATACAGATACAATCGCTTCGATTTTTATACAAATCATATGTCTGCATTTTATACAAATCAAATGCTTTATAACAAATTATGTTTGCTATGAAGTATAAATAGCAAACTATAATTATAGAACACTAATATAATTTTTATGTTTGTTATAATAAAAATATGATAACAGTTTACCAAAAAAAAAGCCCATTTTCTATTGGGATAATTGTATAGAATCACAAACTAATAATCTAAAATAGATAAGTAGCTACCATTTGATTTATTTGTGTTCCATAGCAAACTGTTTGTCAGTCGCCTCTCTCTCTCATATTCTCGCACGCCACTCTCCCTCCCTCGCTCTGTGTCGCTCGCCTCTCTCGCTTTATACAATAGAATTGTATAAATTGTGTTTTTGTTTGTATAAAGCGAGAGAAAATTGTATACACATGCAAATACAATATCTCCTTCATATACACTTACAATTATACAATACAAATTTAAATTTTGTAGTTGCTATATATGAAAATTGTCCTTTTCTATTTAGAGAAAAAATAGCCCAAGAACTCGGCTCAAGGCCATTAGTCCATTTTTGCTTCTCAATTTTTCCAGCGTTGATTTTTTTTTTCTAAAAAAAAACTTATTTTGTTTGTTTTCTGCATTTATTTAAATTTTCTTAAAACATCATTTTTTCCAAAACTTTTTCATGTATAAATATTGTATAAATGGTATAAAAACAAGTTTATATAATGTACAAATAATTATGTAGTGTATATGTATTGTATCAATACTTTATAAATAATTAGGTGGTGCATATGTAATGTATCGATATTATATAAAACAACATAAATATTCTTTTTTTCCACATAAAGAGTGAGCAATAGAAAAGGAAAAAGTTTTTTAAAAGCAATGGCCGATTGGCCATTAAAAAAAAATAGGCTATTTCTTGTGTAAACAATTTTCTCAATGAACATTTTATACAATTTTCCGAAAAAA